TTCTAATCATAACTTAGGTCCTCCTACTACCTCACTTGGCTATTAGTTCTATTAATTTTGAGAAGCAATCTTATTGATAATATTTATGGTCTAGAACATTAATAGCTCACAGAAAATACATTAGTGAGCTGGTAAGTTCACTCAAAATTTATGAACTGTGATGCTTTCCTTCAACTACAAACAGCAGAACATTTTAAAATTTAATTTGCAATATAAATGACAGTATTGTATATTCAGTACAGTAACTTGTACATGTCCACCTTTCAACATGATTCAAGTATTGAAAGATTAGGAAAGAAAAACTAGAAATCATTATGGACTTACTCTAACCACATTTGGCTCAAGTCAGTAGTGCGAAGGAGGAACATACTGCCTCTGGTAGAAATAATCAGTAGCAGAGAAGAAATCATCAAAGCATCCTGACTTTCACCACCTAGGTTAGCCTACTACAAGGGAAATGTATTGGACGATCTAAGAAAGATAGAAAGATGTTACCTACCCAAAAGCACTCCTCATCATTTTACCAAGATACCTAAACTTCTCAGCTTCACTATCTCCTCTTAGAAATAAACTTGTACTCTATTCGATTAAATAACATAATACATTGAAAGATATAACACAGTTAGAAGAGGTTAGATTCGATGTATAAATTGTCCACAGAGCCCTAGCTATTGCTTAAATAGCATTTTGGTGATGGGGACTGTTACTAAGAGCATTTGATTCAAAGTTTTCTATAAAAGCAAACTCACATTCTTTTTGTGTGAGGAAGATTGTCACTGAGCTAACATCCATCTCCTACTTTATGTGGGATTCCGCCATAGCGTGGCTTGAGGGGTGGTGCTAGGTTCACAACCACAGATCCGAACCTGCAAACCCTGGGCCACCAAAGGGTAGCATGCGAACTTAACCACTACACCACTGGGTCAGCCTCAAACTCTTATTCTTGGTGAAAAGGAAGAACCAAACAAAATGTTTTATTCTACATCTAGATATATTGGTTGTCATTGTACAATGACTTCAGGGATAGTCATTAAGCTTCATTGCATTTCTTAATGTCCCTTTGGTTCTATCATAAATTGAGATCATGACATTATGAGAGTATTTACAGAGTTAATAATTTCCAGCTCTCATCTGCGTCCATCTTTCTTTAGATTTCCTGCCTAGTACACGGAAGAGGCCCATTTGGAATTTGAAAAAACATCCAGAGACTTCTTCGAAAAGCTATACTCCTCCTAAATTCATACTTTTTTTTTATTAACAAACGTAAATCTGAAGGGGAAATACCATATACTATAAGCCATTTGGGAATATTCTGTCTCATAAGGATGACTTACACTTTTCATTTGAATGGCATGGATGCTGAGAGCTTAAACTCAAAATTCATCTGTACTCTAGCTCTGAATCATTCTTTCCGTGAACTCTGCATGCATTTTTATGATAAACACACACATGTGTATGCAGTATGTGACCTTATTGGCAGTTATCTGCAATGTCAAGTACTATTGGCAGATACCCAAGAATTGATTGACACACATCTTATAGAACTGGAGTTAATTAATATGTCTACCAATTCCCAACTGTATTACAGGAAACAGAAAATCTGTTTAATACAGCAATCAATGACATACTGTGTGTGGTCGGAAGGCATTCACTACGCAGCAAGAGTAGACTTTGGAATACGGTTTTCAGAAGTATAAATATTGCTACTAAAATTCTAGGAAAGTAAAATGAGGTCTATGTTCATAACTAGAAGATTAAAGAAGGGGGGTTTTCACACACTGTTTATCATTATTTAAAAGGAATTGTTAATTTTCTCCTACAAGTTCTGAAGCTATTAAATGATGAATGGAGTCTTGATTTGATTCAAAAGTAACATTTTCACCTTTGCAGCATTTGGCCATCTGGAATGGCGAGTCCATAATGTCATTTTCTAACAGTGGATTTTAACAATCTTGGGAACGCAATGTAAGACAATGAGTTATTTTAAAGAAAGAATACTGCAAAGGAAAAATTGAGTGTTAAAATGTCCATGAAAGCCATGATAAAAACTGTAAGCAAAACATCCTTTTTTGTATGATAAAACTATTTGTAATATGTAAAGGCTGAACAGAAGTTTAAAAAGGAAACGATTTCATTATTTGATGTAGAGTGGGACAGGTAACAGCAAAGTATACAAGCTACTTCTAAACTAGAATATAGGAGAAAGATGTGTGCTGGTTCTATCTGAAAAGGCAGGCTTGCATATAAAAGTTACTAAATTCAAACTTGATGAGAGCTTATGAACTCTAATCCAACAGTCCTGGCCTCAGTCTTGATTGCTGTTTGATTTCTTCCTCTTCGAATCTTTCCGTTACTGTCATTCTTTTCTGAACTGCATGAAGCGCACATTATCTCTTTTTCTTAACTTCACAAACAGCATAACTGTTTAAATTCAAGGGTAGTATTTTAAGTATCAGCATAGATCAATTTAAAGCAGATTCTCTCTTAAGGCAGCTTAAGCACTGAAAATTAAATTTTATGTTGTCTAGACAAACTATCTTGATAATATCTTTTCCAGAATTTCCTAGATTGACTGTCTAGACTGCTCCAAATTCCCCCAGGTAATTGCATAATCGTCTTCCCTCTGACCTCCTAAACTGTCTGGAACAGCATTTCCCAATATATAGTGGCCATGCAAATCAGGATCACTGAGCTTCTGAAAGAGGGCTCTCTTAAAGGTTCTGAGTTTCAGAATCTCAGGAAAATACTTGCACCCCAATATCCCACCTCGCAGGAGATCAAATGGGAAGCTTTACTGATTTATTTCAGTGGACAAAAAGGCCACCTCAATTTTTCTGGGTAAATGGTCTGGCTCCAGAACTTGTAATTTTCCATCTCCCACCCATCTATAAAGCAGCAATGATAGTCATTGAGTTGATAAGGAAATATGCTGTGAACTTTACTAAATAGCAACTAAGAAAAAAACTCAAGACTTTGGGGAAAATGTTAAAAATATGAGAACTACCTATTAGACAATGTTAAATTCTCACAACAACCGTATAAGGTAGAGACCATTCTCATTACTACTTTCTAGGTTAGAAACAGAGACACAAAGAAAATAAGTAGCTTGCCCAGGATCAAGCATCTAGTACTAAATTGAGGTCAGACAAAAGCCCAGCAGTCTGAGGCCACAGGACACGCAGTTAACAATGATGGGATTAGAACTCCTTGAGTTTCTATAGCGAAAAATGTCAGTGGGTCGTGCCCTGCTAGGAGGGTTGGAAGACGGTTAGAGGTAATAAGTCAACCTCTCATTTAACATATATGAACACTGAGGATCAAAGGGGTTTTGCTTAGTTTTGTTTTACATATTATGAGACAGAGTCTCAGGGAGGTTAACCTCAGAGAGGTTAACACATTTTTCCAATGCTCCAGAGCTAGGAAGTTGTAGAATAAGATCAGAAGCCAGATGTGACCCCAAAGCCCACGTCTTCTCCACTAACCTGTGCCAGGAGCTCAGCTCTCCTGACTCTGTTACCCTGTGCAGCATGATGCCTGGCAGATGTAAAAAGTGCAATATGATGTGGAAGGAGTTTTCTAGAGCTATCTTCAGAATACAGAAAAGTGGGTCAATCACTCCAGGCCCACGTTTTATGGTGCCTGGGTATAGCTGAGAAGAAAGCAAAGAGGGAGAGATTTATCCAGAAGGTGCTAAAAAGTTAACTGCGCAAAGTCTCCAGGACCATGTGCAGGAAATTATTCCTAATTTCATCAATATGAAGCAAGTAATTTAAGTAGAACTGCCTTTCCTTAAAGTTAGTGTTTACTTAAAACTCTAGGATATGTCAGCAAGTACAGTACAGGTGCTCACAGGAGGGAGAAGGAGGAAGGGTGCATTGGAGGAATAGGCTGATGAGAGGCCAACGCCTAAACTGGTGAGACCTTAGGAAAGTGTTTAATCTTCCCAGGATTACCAAGAAAGTAATAATAGTTGTGTTTAGTCTAGAAACCACAGTGTCTCTAAGAAGTCTTCTTATAGAAAAAATCCAAACTGTTTTGATTTCTGTGTCTTTGGATTAAAACAATATATTTTTATCAATTTAGGACACCTTAAGAAAATTTAGAGAGAGAATCTAGAGTTTAAGTTACAAAGAAGTGGCTAAAATGTAAATTATATGTTATGTTTAGGATTCCAGAAATATTCTGGAAACAAATCCTTTATTTTTTTAGTATCTCTGAATCCAATTTGGAAGCAAATTCTGTCACAAATTATCTTCTCACCACATGAAAGTTTTTGTTCTTCTTAGGATTTTGTGCCAAAAATTATAGAAGGCTTATAATTGAAGGCTATTGGTAAGCCCAATTCATGAAACTGCTTTCAATACTAGTAACTTTTCTTTTAAATATTTCCCTAATTTCAAGTTTTACTTAAATTTACCTAAATTTAATTTCCTCACTAAAACATCTTTTAGGAGCAACAGACAAATTAAAGAAACGTCTTTTCCATACTGCCAAAATAATAGCCAAAAATGTAAAAGGAAAGTTTAGCTGAACAAGAACACAAATGTGAATAATTTAGGTCAAATATGAGATCAGATCATTGTGCACATGTATGGCATCCTTTCTTAATCCCTAGGCAGAAGAAAACAACTGGGGTGGCAGACACTTCCGGCTGAGGATGGAAATGGAGGGGAAAGCTGGCAGTATACAAATGAAGGAGAAAACAGTACACATTCAGCCTGCTGACATCTGCTGCACATGCAAAATGGATTGAACTCTGTAATCCAGGGTGAAAGCAAATGCTTTCTTCCTTGCTTCCTTCCTCCTGTTCTGTAGTTATCGTTGAGTGATAGTCTCATTCTTTTTGCATCCACAGCTTAAAATTAATAACAGCATCTGAATTTGAAGTAGGTCCCACTGAATAGCAAACCAGAAGCTAAATGAGCTGAAGAAATTAGTAATGAAGCATTTGAATAGGAAGGGGTCATAAACAAACACCCTTTTTTAAAAGTCAGCTTTACCTCAGGATGATGTCCAATTTCAATGTAGGTGCAAATTGGATGAAAAGCCCCTGTTCCACAGGCATACAAGTGAGTTTGATTATAAGCCTTAAGCACCTTGATGAAATTAGCACATTCTTTCTGTAAAACAAAAGGAAAACCAGTGAGTTCTAGCAGTCAGCATGACCGAGGTGTCCTCTAGGGGGCTAGGCACGCTTGAACAGATTTCTTTTCTTTTATGTCCTTTTCACAACATTTTTAGGGCTTATTATTCTATTGTTTGCTCACATTATTACATGAACTAAAAATATAAAAGTTCTTACTCTTTGAGGGGCTAAATATAATATTCTCTTCCATAACTTTTTAATTAAAACTATTTATACAAAACTATTTATACAAAAGTGGAATAAAGTTATAGATAACCAACAATCACAGGTGACTCTTCTAGAAAAGAGAACAGCAAATTATATGATTAAGTATTGAATTACTTAAATAATATAACAGTGAAAATTTCTTTGCAAAAACCAGCTTTGAGTTTAATTTTAGAAAAATAAAACAAAATTAAGATATAACACAACCTATCATTAAACATGACTGTTAAACATCATTAGGAACCCATAATGATGGGTGACTGACTCTTTACTTCTGTAGTGCTGCTTGTTAGTGAACTCCATAGACCCTGAGAAGGTAAAGCCACCTCCTCTGGAAAATGTTGCTTCAGCCTCAAAGACAATTTGATTATATTTAAGATGATATAGAGAAGATGCTAAAGTTTGGAATGTCTGTAGGCTGAAGGATATTTTCTAGAGTGGCTGTAATTAATAAGTATTTTCAGGAGGTTCATGGACATCCTGGACCCATACATGGACCCCATGCCCAATGAAACATGGATCCCCCCGGTAAAGAACAACTAGTTTCAAGAGGAAATTCTAGTTATAGCTTATTATTATTTAAAGAAGCTTAGACATCCTGCAATTTTATCCTCTGAATAAAATATCACCTAAGAAATAAAATAGACAGAGCTATTTATATTTTTTCTATATATCCTATTACATCTGTAGATCCTGTGAAAGAAAATGTTTTTCTATGAACAAGCAGGAATCTTAGGTTTTGTCCTTGTTGAGGAAAGATTTTGGGAAAAAAATCAGATATTCAGAATATAAACTGGGTAATTTTATTGCCAAAATAATCCAGAGCAGGAAAGACAATTTTTGCAAAATATTTTTAAATAGATGACTCTATATTAATATTGTAAAAAGAAAAACTCAAACTATGAAAATAGGTTCAAATAAAATGTTATGGTCTATTAATCATATAACAAATCTTAAGAGTTGCATACAATATAAGTAGAAAATACGAGTTCATCATGGAATATGAACATAATATTCATTTTGAAAGTATCCAAATGGGCTCTCATATGCTAAATAATAAAAATTGCATTGAAAATTATTTTGTTATTGATCATAGACTTTTTAAACTCATTTTGTGTTTTTGCCTCTATGCATTTGGAAATAAGAACCAAATATATAATTAGAAATGCAGAAAAAGATCAAAAGCAGACCACGATTCAAGCAAGGCTGGCAAACATAATAGAGGATTGGGTTGGTCTTGGCACCTCTCAGTGTGTAACACTCCCAAAGTCACTCTCTATGACATGTGACTTTTCAAATGAAAGCTCAGAATGCATTTGGACTTCATGTAGTCAGAGTTCATAATTGAAATGGTACAATAATTTAAGTACATTTCCACACGACATTTGTATTATGTGTCTGTGCTGATGATTTTGGTCTTAACTCTATTGCGCCCATAAAATACGGAGCAGACACCCAAACTTGAGCAGAAAAATGGATATTTAAATTCAAATAATTGCTTTCCATCATCATTAATTTTTCTAGGATGAAACCTGAGAATGAACATAATACTTTGTCCCCAAGGTAAATTAGACCTATTTAAAGTAAAATATAAAACTTTCAAGTTGTGACTCCTCATGCTTTCTTAACATATGCTGAGTAGTTTAGGGGAGAAGCTAAAATATACATCTAATTTCTCCCACTGTTTTGCTGCTTAAATCCTGAATCTTTAGTCTAGTAAAACATTATGACAGGTAAAATTAAGTTCTGAAATCAACTGATTTTGCCAGTTGCTATGAAGAAAAATTTCCTAGCTTAAAGAGTACATAGATCTCATCCATGCTTCACTTTCACTAGGGTATACCTTAGACAAAACTGTGAAACAGAAACAACCTAATTTTCAAGATTCTTTGCAACAAACTCTCCATTCTGTAACAGTTTCTCCTCCTCCCTCAAGAGGACAGGGCATGAATGCTTGGGCAGAGAAAGGTTGTGGAAAGGGAAACATCTGATAAACTCATTTACAAATGAGGCATTCGTGAGTCTTACCCAAAGGATGTATTTGTGCTTTTAAGCAAATTTAGTCATTTGCAAAGAAGTCATTTTCAGAAAAATATTTTATGGCACCCCTTTCTTTGAAACATGGAGATAGCCACACACTCTACTTTTACATAGAGATAGCCAGCCCTGACTGTGCACTCAATATTAGAGCATTCGAGATTATAAATAACCAGTTCCAGCACCATATGTTAAAGCCAAGAAACAGGCTGTGTATATATTGGTAAGCAAACGAATATTCTAGTAGATAACAGAGGCAGACCCAGATGGATGTCTTGTTCATTTTAGGAAAGAACAGTGTTTCATTTTGTTTTCCATGCCTTTAAAGATATCCAAGCAATTTTTAATACAAACCCAAATTCTCTAATCTTATTAGTAACACCTAAGTGCATTCTAGAAATTTGAGAATAGACCCTAGTTCTTCACAATAAAAAAAAAGAGAGAGAGAGAAAGGAAATATCTTATGAGCATGGATACTTGTGAACACAAATGAAGGCTCATATCACCTCTGGAACTTGTTATGAATCCTAAAATCACAGCATTTCGGGCTCTTAGCTCTTCTGGATTGGATAACTGATTAGCCACAATTAATGACTGAAAAACTCTCAGAGTTCTTGAAAACTGGAATTGAGCCACACTGAACATCATAATTTTAATTTGTTCTCTATTAACTATCAAAGAAGCACCACTATAAGGGGACAGCTATCCCTCTTCAGAGCTGCTAGAAAAAAATCAATCAGAAGACTATAGTTGTGAAACCTGGCATTCTACTGAGAATACTGATAAGAGAGTTGATCTGTGCTACAAAGCAAGTAGACCCACCCCTATCATCCTAAGGCCTGGAATGATCCTGTTCATTTCCCCAATGAACTCTGCCAGTTGGCAGCAGTTTGTACTGTTCTGTGCCCTGGGGCTAGCTCAATATTATTTTGAAGTGAAGGTTGATGCAAATAAAATGGAGAGAAATTTCTTGGGTTTATAGAGTATGTTAAGACACTTGAAATGAAATAAAGAAATTGAATGAAATACTTTCAAAACTGGTTATAAATAGCTTCAAGGAAACTCATCAACAACAATGTGGGAGGAAACAGTGAATTAAAAGAACTGGACAGAGAAGAACCAAAAACTTGAAAGAGACATTGTTAGTAAGGATTGTTCTTTAAACAGAAAACCTACATAAAAGAGTATCAATCCTGTCATTCATTTGCCTTCATTCTCTAGCTTGTTGCTGCCAAGGTTTTGAGCGTTCCAAAACAGGATATTCATTTTATTTGGAAGCAGCCTGGACATTCCTCTAAAAAAAAGGAAGCATGGCAGAAAAAGGAAACCCACTTCACACGTTTCTGCTCTAGGGAGACAGAAGAAGAGTGTTTCTGACCTTTTCTTGAACCATGACGATTTTTAAAACTCAGAATGTAATGTACTTTTTGGCATTAAACTACTGCACTGCTTTGCTCAGCGCTGGCGGATTTACAACGTAATAAAGAGAATGTAATCAGTTCAAAATGAATTCATTTTTCAAACCTTGATCCTTTTTGGAATTTAAGCTGATATACACAGATAGGTTTAGCAACAAGTTGGCTTCCCTAGAGTCAGGCAACCATACTGACCTCTTATTTTACTGAAATGTACTCCAGACCAACAGCATTATAAATTGTTAACTTAACCTAGAAGTAAAAGTAAAGGTAGTTATAAACCAGTAAACCCCAAGGCCACACCTGAGGAGCGATGATTCATCATCCTTAGTGACAAACCGTTTATACTTATTTTTTAAGGGTTTCTAGGGCTTTCGGATCAAATGGATAGAGGAATTACACGTAGAGATATTAGCCTGGAAAAATAAATTAGAAAATGTCTACCCCTAGAAAAAGATATAGGAGCCAAACGCACAGCGATTCAAAAACAAACATTACAAATATGTAGCACTGATTAGACTGTGTTATGTAGACTTTTCCTGGACGGTTACAAAAATAAAGTCTATCCATCTGTCAAAACAACTGCTCCACACATGAAAATTAAAACAGAATTGAGGGGTTTTTAACTAACTTCTGATAATTATACTTTCTACAAAAGACTGTATTTTACCTCCTATTCCAATTACCTCCTTGCATCTTCTTAAATTATGGATGGAGCAGTGAAATTTTGCTCTAAACAAAAGAGATACGAGGAGAGAAGTTTGTGAAGATGAACAGTCTCTGTTCAAATATACTCAGTTCCTGATTACATCAAACAACTTGGTCTGGTTCAAATATAAATCAGCCCAAAATGAATGGGTATCATACAGCATTTCCTCAGGTCAGTGAACATTCATTAAAAAGAAAAGAATATTCTGTATCACCTCAGTAGTTCATGTAGAAATATTTTAATGTATAATCTAGCAGCTGGGAAATTTAAAAAGGACTTTCTTTTCCTATCATGATGGGTAGATACATTTCTTCATGAAAATCCATTAATAGGCTTAATTCCTGAAGTTAATCTGTTGACTTTCTTATTCTCTGGTCAATTTATTTGGCAAACTAGCTGAATACTAGAATCTTTGTGCCAGAGCAGTAATCCATGAGATTGTTCCTGTCACTCACTTCATCTCTCTCTTTATTTAAGCCGGTTCCATACTTACCTAGCAACAATGTTTTGTCTTTTTTTTTTCTTTTAACACTGTGCTATTACAGCTGTGATCAGATTGTCCATAATCATATCTTCCTAATGCTTCACCATTCACTAAAGGATGTTAGA